ACATCAGATCATTTGATGTTCCCATTTTTCTGATGGTAACATCAGATCATTTGATGTTCCCATTTTTCTGATGGTAACATCAGATCATTTGGGAACGCATTGAACAAGGGAGAGAGGAAATGGTGGGAAGGACGAGGGGACGAGGGAGTGGGGGATGGTGGGGAGGACGAGGGACGGGGGAGGGGGAGAATGGTGGAAAGACGGGGGGTCAAGGGGGGGGGGTTCTGAGCCACAGCAACGTGTGGCCGGGTACAGCTAGTAGTAAATATAAACAGTAAATACACACACACACACACACACACCGATGCAACACCTCCGTCTTGCGTAAACACAGTTGCCACTTGCACTACACACACACACCTCTTACCAGTGACATTAGTGTGAGAGTAATGTAACTAGCACGAGGGGTCGGGAGGGGCGCACCTGCGCCCCCCAACACACCCTAAGCCTCCCTGCCCCCCCACCCCCCCGACACATCCTAGGCCTCCCCAAACGCCCACACAGCCAATACCAGGAAGGGTCACAGTCTCCCAGTAATGTTTGCACCGAGAATTACTGCACTACAATATGTATCTCCAGAGGCACTGGCAGTGAGGGAGACAGAGAGGCAAGTGAGAGAGAGATGCAGACAGGCAGAGAGGCAGAGAGGCACAGAGGCAGAGACACAGTGACGCAGAGAGGCACTGATTGCCAGTGAGGCAAAGAGGCATGAGTGATAAAGAGGGGGGAAGGGGAGCAGAGGGGTGATACGAGAGGCAAGGGGGGAAGCAGCCGTGCCTCACCTCTCTGGCACAGTGCCTCCAGGACACCCATCAACATGGGAAGTGACAGGTGATGAGCTGGCACGGCTTGCAACATGTTCCTGCAATCACAGAATATGCAAGATTTCTCATTGCCTACAGTGCATCACCTGCATTTCCTCATGCGGCCAGCTCCACTCTGAAGAAATATTAGACCCAGGCGACTACCATGAGTCCATGGTCTATACTTCTACCATGTGTCCATGGTCTATACTTCTACCATGTGTCCATGGTCTATACTTCTACCATGTGTCCATGGTCTATACTTCTACCATGAGTCCATGGTCTATACTTCTACCATGTGTCCATGGTCTATACTTCTACCATGTGTCCATGGTCTATACTTCTACCATGTGTCCATGGTCTATACTTCTACCATGTGTCCATGGTCTATACTTCTACCATGAGTCCATGGTCTATACTTCTACCATGTGTCCATGGTCTATACTTCTACCATGTGTCCATGGTCTATACTTCTACCATGTGTCCATGGTCTATACTTCTACCATGTGTCCATGGTCTATACTTCTACCATGAGTCCATGGTCTATACTTCTACCATGTGTCCATGGTCTATACTTCTACCATGAGTCCATGGTCTATACTTCTACCATGTGTCCATGGTCTATACTTCTACCATGTGTCCATGGTCTATACTTCTACCATGAGTCCATGGTCTATACTTCTACCATGTGTCCATGGTCTATACTTCTACCATGTGTCCATGGTCTATACTTCTACCATGAGTCCATGGTCTATACTTCTACCATGTGTCCATGGTCTATACTTCTACCATGAGTCCATGGTCTATACTTCTACCATGTGTCCATGGTCTATACTTCTACCATGTGTCCATGGTCTATACTTCTACCATGAGTCCATGGTCTATACTTCTACCATGTGTCCATGGTCTATACTTCTACCATGAGTCCATGGTCTATACTTCTACCATGAGTCCATGGTTGTGGGCGACATTCATGGTGGTGGTCGCGGGAAGACTGGTAGAAACAAATGAGCTAAAGACAGAAAATGGGTAAAAGAGAGAGCGAGAGGAAAAGGAAAACGGGTTACAGGAGAGCGAGACAAAATAGAAAACGGGTTACAGGAGCGAGACAAAATAGAAAACGGGTTACAGGAGAGCGAGACAAAACAGAAAACGGGTTACAGGAGATTATCTTGAGATTATTTTGAGATGATTTCGGGGCTTTAGTGTCCCCGCGGCCCGGTCCTCGACCAAGCCTCCACCCCCAGGAAGCTGCCCGTGACAGCTGACTAACACCCAGGTACCTATTTTACTGCTAGGTAACAGGGGCATAGGGTGAAAGAAACTCTGCACATTGTTTCTCGCCGGCGCCTGGGATCGAACCCGGGACCACAGGATTACAAGCCCAGTGTGCTGTCCGCTCGGCCGACCGGCTCCGACAGGAGCGAGACAAAATAGAAAACGGGTTACAGGAGAGCGAGACAAAATAGAAAACGGGTTACAAGAGAGCGAGACAAAATAGAAAACGGGTTACAGGAGAGCGAGACAAAATAGAAAACGGGTTACAGGAGAGCGAGACAAAATAGAAAACGGGTTACAGGAGAGCGAGACAAAATAGAAAACGGGTTACAGGAGAGCGAGACAAAATAGAAAACGGGTTACATACGAGAGAAAAAATAAGTCCAGCAGGACAGACAAAAGAGATCTAAAGGGATAAAAAGCATTAGCATGACACAAACAGAATAACTCAGAAAGAAATGAAAGCATGAGAGAAAAGAAAGTAAGAGGGGGAATGAAAAATCAGAATGCCCCGGAGAGGATAATAAAGGGGGACTAAAAGGAAATAAAATTCACGAGGAATATAACAATACCAAAAATACAACTAATTGTAAAGGCTGTGAATATAAAATATGGAACAGAACTGGCAATAAATGTATGACACAGAGAGCGGGAGCCCAAGAGCCTTCGTCCAAGCCAAAGACTTAACAAATCCCGGTCGGATTTGTTAAGTCTCCCAGGCCGACCGGCTGGGAAGCCGGTCGGCCGAGCGGACAGCACACTGGACTTGTGATCCTGTGGTCCCGGGTTCGATCCCAGGCGCCGGCGAGAAACAATGTGCAGAGTTTCTTTCACCCTATGCCCCTGTTAACTAGCAGTAAAATAGGTACCTGGGTGTTAGTCAGCTGTCACGGGCTGCTTCCTGGGGGTGGAGGCCTAGTCGAGGACCGGGCCGCGCGGACACTAAAGTCCCGAAATCATCAAAAATCATCTCAAGAAGAAGATCCCTCTCGTTGTGTTGAGTTAAAAAAAAAGTCTTCGAGAAATAATGCTAAAATCTCACAAGACTGCTCAAGTCATTGTCAAGAATGTCAAGAATGTCAAGAATCATTGTCAATTGTCAAGAAATTCACCCTAGTGACGTGATGAGTATACACAGGTGGAGATAGGGTGCTCATCAAGTGCTTACTCCCTCACAATCTTCTCTCATCTTCTGAGATCTTCCTTCATCCTTCTGGACCTTCAGAATCACCTTGTTCAGCTTCTGAGAGCTGCTTCCGCCAGCCTCTAAGACACCTCTTGAATTATTACCACCTGTTTTATGGCGTATGCTGCCCTCCACCCACTACAGTTACCTCGAACTACTCACGCTTCACGTTCTTCACTTGTCCTCCTCCCCCCCCCTTCTTCTATGTCGTATCTGCCGTGTTAAATAATTGTTCTTCCTACGCCAACTCCTCAACTTCAACTAATATCAACACAATAGATAATGGTTGAACAGATAATGGTTCAATATATATATATATATATATATATATAATGGTTCAACACATAATGGTGCCACAGGCAATACAATCACTTAGACTGGACGGTAGAGCGACAGTCTCGCTTGATGCTGGTCGGCGTTCAATCCCCGACCGTCCAAGTGGTTGGGCACCATTCCTTCCCTCCGTCCCATCCCAAATCCTTATCCTGACCCCTTCCCAGTGCTATATAGTCGTGATGGCTTGGCACTTTCCCCTGATAGTTCCTTCACCCTACAATGGCAGAAAATAGACAAAAGTGGCGGACAAAATCCAAATGGTGTAACAATAAACAGGAAAACATAATAAAAAGGACGATGCATGCAGAAACAAACGCAGCTGAGGCGGCTTCATTCCGGAAACAGTGCAACTGAACGATCATTTATGCCAAGGTGAACGAAACAATGGAGCTGACCAAACGGAAAAAAAAGATAAGATTTGCGAGAAAATGGAAGGGTTGACGGATTGAGCAACAACAGAACTGAGGAGGAGGAAGGAAGCAACAGTGGAACACACACACACACACACACACACACACACACACACACACACACACACACACACACACACACACACACACACACACACACACACGCACAAGGGGCCTCGTAGCCTGGTGGATAGCGCGCAGGACTCGTAATTCTGTGGCGCGGGTTCGATTCCCGCACGAGGCAGAAACAAATGGGCAAAGTTTCTTTCACCCTAAGTGCCCCTGTTACCTAGCAGTAAATAGGTACCTGGGAGTTAGTCAGCTGTCACGGGCTGCTTCCTGGGGTGTGTGTGTGTGTGTGTGGTGTGTGGGAAAAAAAAAAAAAAAAAAAAAAAAAAAAGTAGTAAACAGTTGATTGACAGTTGAGAGGCGGGCCGAAAGAGCAAAGCTCAACCCCTGCAAAAACACAACTAGTAAACACAACTAGTAAACACACACACAGGGGCCTGGTAGCCTGGTGGGTAGCGCGCAGTACTCGTAATTCTGTGGCGCGGGTTCGATTCCCACACAAGGCAGAAACAAATGGGCAAAGTTTCTTTCACCCTTGAATGCCCCTGTTACCTAGCAGTAAATAGGTACCTGGGAGTTAGTCAGCTGTCACGGGCTGCTTCCTGGGGTGTGTGTGTGTGTGGTGTGGAAAAAAAACGGAGTTAGTAAAACAGTTGATTGACAGTTGAGAGGCGGGCCGAAACAGCAAAGCTCAACCCCCCGCAAACACAACTAGGTGAACACACACACACACACACACACACACACACACACACACACACACACACACACACACACACACACACACACACACACACACACACACGGTCCGAGAGCTAGAGCTCGATCGTGCAGGCACAAGTAGGTCAGTACACAAACACACACCAAGTTCTATCCCTTAATTTAAGGAGACTCAAAGTTGGAGAGTAATTTGTTGCCTTAAGCCCCCGGAGGTGGGGCTGAGGGCCCCCGGAGGTGGGGCTGAGGGCCCCCGGAGGTGGGGCTGAGGGCCCCCGGAGGTGGGGCTGAGGGCCCCCGGAGGTGGGGCTGAGGGCCCCCGGAGGTGGGGCTGAGGGCTCCCGGAGGTGGGGCTGAGGGCCCCCGGAGGTGGGGCTGAGGGCCCCCGGAGGTGGGGCTGAGGGCCCCCGGAGGTGGGGCTGAGGGCCCCCGGAGGTGGGGCAGAGGGCCCCCGGAGGTGGGGCTGAGGGCCCCCGGAGGTGGGGCTGAGGGCCCCCGGAGGTGGGGCTGAGGGCCCCCGGAGGTGGGGCAGAGGCCCCCGGAGGTGGGGCTGAGGGCCCCCGGAGGTGGGGCTGAGGGCCCCCGGAGGTGGGGCTGAGGGCCCCCGGAGGTGGGCTGAGGCCCCCGGAGGTGGGGCCGAGAGCCCCTGGAGGTGGGGCTGAGGGCCCCCGGAGGTGGGGCTGAGGGCCCCCGGAGGTGGGGCTGAGGGCCCCCGGAGGTGGGGCTGAGGGCCCCCGGAAGTGGGGCTGAGGGCCCCCGGAGGTGGGGCCGAGGGCCCCCGGAGGTGGGGCCGAGAGCCCCCGGAGGTGGGGCCGAGGGCCCCCGGAGGTAGGGTAGAGGCCCCCCGGAGGTGGGGCTGAGGGCCCCCGGAGGTGGGGCTGAGGGCCCCCCGGAGGTGGGGCTGAGGGCCCCCCGGAGGTGGGGCTGAGGGCCCCCCGGAGGTGGGGCCCTCTGACAAAGGGCAAAGGGACAAAGGTTCAAACTAAGGAAACAAGGCTGCCGAAAAACACATTAGAAAGTATACTTGAGCAGTGGTTGACGGATGGAACAAGTTAACTCAATGGTGTGTTGGTGGCCAAGGCAGTATTTTCAAAGCGTTATGTGACAAAGAGTGCTGGGACGTGCGTGCGTGCTTGTACACACCTTGTTGTGCTTGCGGGGGTTGAGGTTCAGCTCTTTGGTCCCGCCTCTAAACCGTCAATCAACTGGTGTACAGGTTCCTGAGCCTACTGGGCTCTATCATATCTACACTTGAAACTGTGTATGGAGTCAGCCTCCACCACATCACTGCCTAATGCATTCCACCTGTTAACTACTCTGACACTGAAAAAGTTCTTTCTAACGTCTCTGTGGCTCATGTGGGTACTCAGTCTCCACCTGTTGCTCATGTGGGTACTCAGTCTCCACCTGTGTCCCCTTGTTCGCGTCCCGCCAGTGTTGAATAGTTTCCCATGTCCACCTATTAAATCCCCCTGAGAATCTGTGTGTGTGTGTGTGTGTGTGTGTGTGTGTGTGTGTGTGTGTGTGTGTGTGTGTGTGTGTGTGTGTAAGCGTGCGTGCGTGCGTGCGTACACGAGAGCATACTATAGAGGGCGCCCCTAACACATGGTACCAACACAGTCAAGGTCGCCACACGGACGCATTAGAGAACAATGAATGGTTTAGGATAATTCAGGTTAAAGAGGTAAAAAAGAGAGGAGGGGGAGGAAGATAATACGGGAGGGGAGTTGGGGAGAGGAGAGAATGGGATGCGAGGGAAGGAAAGAACGATGAGAGGGAAGTAGAGGATAGTGGAGAGAAACACCACGAGAAGAAAGCGTAAGAATTAGTGGGCAGAATAGGAGAAGGGAAGGAAGAAGAAGAGTGGGAGAAGAGAGAGAGGGAGAGGAGGAAGGAGCAGGAGGAGACGACAAGAGGGAAAACAAATGACGTTTCCTTAAGAACTTCATTCACCCCCACCTGGTGACCAGGAGTGTGTACCACCACACACACTGTACCATTCACCCCCACCTGGTGACCAGGACTGTGTACCACCACACACACTGTACCATTCACCCCCACCTGGTGACCAGGAGTGTGTACCACCACACACACTGTACCATTCACCCCCACCTGGTGACCAGGAGTGTGTACCACCACACACACTGTACCATTCACCCCCACCTGGTGACCAGGACTGTGTACCACCACACACACTGTACCATTCACCCCCACCTGGTGACCAGGAGTGTGTACCACCACACACACTGTACCATTCACCCCCCACCTGGTGACCAGGAGTGTGTACCACCACACACACTGTACCATTCACCCCCACCTGGTGACCAGGAGTGTGTACCACCACACACACTGTACCATTCACCCCCACCTGGTGACCAGGAGTGTGTACCACCACACACACTGTACCATTCACCCCCACCTGGTGACCAGGAGTGTGTACCACCACACACACTGTACCATTCACCCCCACCTGGTGACCAGGAGTGTGTACCACCACACACACTGTACCATTCACCCCCACCTGGTGACCAGGAGTGTGTACCACCACACACACTGTACCATTCACCCCCACCTGGTGACCAGGACTGTGTACCACCACACACACTGTACCATTCACCCCCACCTGGTGACCAGGAGTGTGTACCACCACACACACTGTACCATTCACCCCCACCTGGTGACCAGGACTGTGTACCACCACACACACTGTACCATTCACCCCCACCTGGTGACCAAGACTGTGTACACTGTGAGGTACACTGTGAGGTACAGTGAGGTACACTGTGAGGGACACTGTGAGGTACACTATGAGGTACACTGTGAGGTACACTGTGAGGTACACTGTGAGGTACACTGTGAGGTACAGTGAGGTACACTGTGAGGTACACTGTAAGGGACACTGTGAGGTACACTATGAGGTACAGTGAGGTACACTGTGAGGGACACTGTGATACCTGCTTGATGGGGTTCTGGGAGTTGTTCTACTCCCCAAGCCCGGCCCGAGGCCAGGCTTGACTTGTGAGAGTTTGGTCCACCAGGCTGTTGCTTGGAGCGGCCCGCAGGCCCACATACCCACCACAGCCGGGTTGATCCGGCACTCCTTGGAGGAAACAATCTAGTTTCCTCTTGAAGATGTCCACGGTTGTTCCGGCAATATTTCTTATGCTTGCTGGTAGGACGTTGAACAACCGCGGACCTCTGATGTTTATACAGTGTTCTCTGATTGTGCCTATGGCACCTCTGCTGTTCACTGGTTCAATCTTGCATTTTCATCCATATCGTTCACTCCAGTACGTTGTTATTTTACTGTGTAGATTTGGGACCTGGCCCTCCAGTATTTTCCATGTGTATATTATTTGGTATCTCTCTCGTCTCCTTGCTAGTGAGAACATTTGGAGAGCTTTGAGACGATCCCAATAATTTAGGTGCTTTATCGTGTCTATGCGTGCCGTATATGTTCTCTGTATTCCCTCTATTTCAGCAATCTCTCCTGCTCAGAAGGGGGAAGTGAGTACTGAGCAGTACTCAAGACGGGACAACACAAGTGACTTGAAGAGTACAACCATTGTGATGGGATCCCTGGATTTGAAAGTTCTCATAATCCCTCCTATCATTTTTCTGGCTGCCGCAGTATTTGCTTGGTTATGCTCCCTAAACGTTAGGTCGTCAAAAATCAGTATTCCCAAATCCTTTACATGTTGCTTTTCTACTATGGGCAGATTTGATTGTGTTTTGTACCCTGTATTATGTTTAAGGTCCTCATTTTTGCCGTACCTGAGTACGTGAAATTTATCACTGTTAAACATCATGTTATTTTCTGCTGCCCAATCGAAAAAGTTGTTGATATCTGCTTGTAATTTTTCAGTGTCTTCAGCAGATGTAATTTTCATGCTGATTTTTGTGTCATCTGCAAAGGATGACACGAAGCTGTGACTTGTATTTGAGTCTATATTTGATATGAGAATAAGGAACAGTAGCGGTGCAAGGACTGTACCTTGAGGTACAGAGCTTTTAACTGCGCTTGGACTCGACTTTATTTGATTGACTGTTACTCTTTGTGTTCTGTTCGACAAAAAACTGAGTATCCAGCGTCCTACTTTACCAGTTATTCTCATTGACCTTATTTTGTGTGCTATCACCCCATGGTCACATTTGTCGAATGCCTTTGCAAAGTCTGTGTATACTACATGTGTATTTTGCTTTTCTTCTAGGGCTTCTGTGATTTTGTCATAGTGGTTGAGTAACTGTGACAGACAGGATCTTCCCGCTCTAAATCCATATTGTCCTGGGTTGTGTAGTTCATTATTTTCCATGTAACTAGAAATTTGATTCCTAATCACTCTTTCAAACACTTTTATTATGTGTGATGTTAGTGCAACTGGCCTATAATTTTATGCTAAGGCTTTACTACCCCCCTTGTGCATAGGAGCTACATCTGCAGATTTAAGTGCTGCTGGTATCTCCCCTGTATCCAGGCTCTTTCTCCATATTACGCTGAGTGCTCGCGCTACTGGTACTTTACATTTCTTTATGAATATTGAATTCCATGAGCCTGGCCCAGGAGCTGAGTGCATGGGCATATTGTCAATTTCTCTTTCAAAGTCTTCCGAGTTTGTGTTAATATCCGTTATATTATCTGCAGCTTGAATGTCATTCATAAAGAAATTGTCTGGGTCATCAACTTTCATGTTGTTTATTGGGAGTTCCCAATTGGCACCTCAGTAGGCAGGCAGGCAGGCAGGCACCACAGTAGGCAGGCAGGCAGGCACCACAGTAGGCAGGCAGGCAGGCAGGCACCACAGTAGGCAGGCAGGCAGGCAGGCAGGCACCACAGTAGGCAGGCAGGCAGGCAGGCAGGCACCACAGTAGGCAGGCAGGCAGGCAGGCAGGCACCACAGTAGGCAGGCAGGCAGGCAGGCAGGCACCACAGTAGGCAGGCAGGCAGGCAGGCAGGCACCACAGTAGGCAGGCAGGCAGGCAGGCACCACAGTAGGCAGGCAGGCAGGCAGGCACCACAGTAGGCAGGCAGGCAGGCAGGCACACAGTAGGCAGGCAGGCAGGCAGGCAGGCACCACAGTAGGCAGGCAGGCAGGCAGGCAGGCAGGCACCACAGTAGGCAGGCAGGCAGGCAGGCACCACAGTAGGCAGGCAAGCAGGCAGGCACCACAGTAGGCAGGCAGGCAGGCAGGCACCACAGTAGGCAGGCAGGCACCACAGTAGGCAGGCAAGCAGGCAGGCACCACAGTAGGCAGGCAGGCACCACAGTAGGCAGGCAGGCAGGCACCACAGTAGGCACGCAAGCAGGCAGGCACCACAGTAGGCAGGCAGGCACCACAGTAGGCAGGCAGGCACCACAGTAGGCAGGCAGGCAAGCAGGCAGGCACCACAGTAGGCAGGCAAGCAGGTAGGCACCACAGTAGGCAGGCAGGCAGGCACCACAGTAGGCAGGCAGGCAGGCAGGCACCACAGTAGGCAGGCAAGCAGGCAGGCACCACAGTAGGCAGGCAGGCACCACAGTAGGCAGGCAAGCAGGCAGGCACCACAGTAGGCAGGCAGGCAGGCACCACAGTAGGCAGGCAAGCAGGCAGGCACCACAGTAGGCAGGCAGGCACCACAGTAGGCAGGCAGGCAGGCAGGCACCACAGTAGGCAGGCAAGCAGGCAGGCACCACAGTAGGCAGGCAGGCAGGCAGGCAGGCACCACAGTAGGCAGGCAGGCAGGCACCACAGTAGGCAGGCAGGCAGGCACCACAGTAGGCAGGCAGGCAGGCACCACAGTAGGCAGGCAGGCAGGCAGGCAGGCAGGCACCACAGTAGGCAGGCAGGCAGGCACCACAGTAGGCAGGCAGGCAGCAGGCACCACAGTAGGCAGGCAGGCAGGCAGGCAGGCACCACAGTAGGCAGGCAGGCAGGCACCACAGTAGGCAGGCAGGCAGGCACCACAGTAGGCAGGCAGGCAGGCACCACAGTAGGCAGGCAGGCAAGCAGGCAGGCACCACAGTAGGCAGGCAAGCAGGCAGGCACCACAGTTGGCAGGCAGGCACCACAGTAGGGAGGCAGGCAGGCAGGCAGGCACCACAGTAGGCAGGCAGGCAGGCAGGCACCACAGTAGGCAGGCAGGCAGGCACCACAGTTGGCAGGCAGGCAAGCAGGCACCACAGTAGGCAGGCAGGCAGGCACCACAGTAGCAGACAGGCAAGCAGGCAGGCACCACAGTAGGCAGGCAGGAAGGCAGGCACCACAGTAGGCAGGCAGGCAAGCAGGCAGGCACCACAGTAGGCAGGCAGGCAAGCAGGCAGGCACCACAGTAGGCAGGCAGGCAAGCAGGCAGGCACCACAGTAGGCAGGCAGGCAGGCACCACAGTAGGCAGGCAGGCAGGCAGGCAGGCACCACAGTAGGCAGGCAGGCAGGCAGGCAGGCAGGCAGGCACCACAGTAGGCAGGCAAGCAGGCAGGCACCACAGTAGGCAGGCAGGCACCACAGTAGGCAGGCAGGCAGGCAGGCAGGCAGGAACCACAGTTGGCAGGCAGGCAGGCAGGCACCACAGTAGGCAGGCAGGCACCACAGTAGGCAGGCAGGCAAGCAGGCAGGCACCACAGTAGGCAGGCAGCAGGCAGGCAGGCAGGCACCACAGTAGGCAGGCAGGCAGGCACCACAGTAGGCAGGCAGGCAGGCACCACAGTAGGCAGGCAGGCACCACAGTAGGCAGGCAGGCAAGCAAGCAGGCAGGCACCACAGCAGGCAGGCAGGCAGGGAACGAGGAGGAGCGACCAACCGCTGGCCTACTGACAGGTGATCGATGAGTGAGAGGTACAAACTTTAAAGATGACATTATGGGCTATTTTCATGCGTCACGGGTGTATGCACGCGCACACACGCACGCGCACACACGCACACACACACACGCACACACACACACAATCAATCTTGTTGATTGACGGTTGAGAGGCGGGACCAAAGAGCCAGAGCTCAACCCCCGCAAGCACAACTAGGTGAGTACACACACACACACACACACACACACACACACACACACACACACACACACACACTCACACACACGCACACATCACACACACGCACACGCGCACTCACACACACACACACACACACACACACACACACACACACACACGCACGCACACGCTCACACAAACATTTCTGTCATTACTGTCAGTCAGTTCTCACCCAACAGACTCAGGTACCTGAGAGTTACCCGTCTGTTGTGGTTTGCATCGTGAGCAAGCTCAGTTGTTATTGTAGGACTTTGATAACCCTAACAGACTTCCCGTTTCGGATAATGAGGAAACAGAACGTAGTTCTCCCAGGTTCTTGCTGGTGGCATCATGCACCCATTTATCACACTGGTAGTGGTGCAAGTGTTAACCTATTGCATGCAACCTCTATTTATGTCTCGATTTATTGGTTTCTATTTATTTCGGGTTGTGTTGGGTTCTAACGTTTTCGTGAGATGTTTCTTTGGCCTTCTCAAGTGACTTTCCCATCTTGTCTTTATTTGTCTCTGAAGAGCGCCCTTGCTTGCAGTTGTGTCTCCGAAGAGCACCTCGCTTGCGGTTGTCTCCGAAGAGCGCCCCACTTGGGGATGTGTCTCCGAAGAGCGCCCCGCTTGGGGATGTGTCTCCGAAGAGCGCCCCGCTTGGGGATGTGTCTCCGAAGAGCGCCTCGCTTGGGGATGTGTCTCCGAAGAGCGCCTCGCTTGCGGTTGTCTCCGAAGAGCGCCCCGCTTGCGGTTGTCTCCGAAGAGCGCCCCGCTTGCGGTTGTCTCCGAAGAGCGCCCCGCTTGCGGTTGTCTCCGAAGAGCGCCCCCGCTTGGGGATGTGTCTCCGAAGAGCGCCTCGCTTGCGGTTGTCTCCGAAGAGCGCCCCGCTTGCGGTTGTCTCCGAAGAGCGCCCCCGCTTGGGGATGTGTCTCCGAAGAGCGCCTCGCTTGCGGTTGTCTTCGAAGAGCGCCCCGCTTGGGGATGTGTCTCCGAAGAGCGCCTCGCTTGCGGTTGTCTCCGAAGAGCGCCCCGCTTGCAGTTGTCTCCGAAGAGCGCCCCGCTTGCGGTTGTCTCCGAAGAGCGCCCCGCTTGCGGTTGTCTCCGAAGAGCGCCCCGCCTGGGGTTTAGTCTCCGAAGAGCACCCCACCTGTGGTTGAGTCTTTGAAGAGCGCCCCGTCTGCGGTTGTGTCTTTGAAGAGCGCCCCGCCTGCGGTCGAGTCTCCAAAGAGCGCGCCGTCTGCGGTCGAGTCTTCGAAGAGCGCCCTGCCTGCGGTCGAGTCTTCGAAGAGCGCCTTGCCTGCGGTCGAGTCTTTGAAGAGCGCCCCGCCTGTGGTCGAGTCTCCAAAGAGCGCCCTGCCTGCAGTCAAGTCTCCAAAGAGCGCCGCGCCTGTGGTTGAGTCTCTGAAGAGCGCCCCGCCTGCAGTCGAGTCTTCGAAGAGCGCCCCGCCTGTGGTCGAGTCTTCGAAGAGCACCCCATTTGCGGTTGTGTCTTCGAAGAGCACCCCATTTGCGGTTGTGTCTCCGAAGAGCACCCCACTTGCGGTTGTGTCTCTGAAGAGCACCCCACTTGCGGTTGTGTCTCTGAAGAGCACCCCGCCTGCGGTTGTGTCTCCGAAGAGCACCCCATTTCCGGTTGTGTCTTCGAAGAGCGCCCCACCTGCGGTTGTGTCTCCAAAGAGCGCCCCGCTTGTGGTAGAGTCTCTGAAGAGCGCCTTGCTTGCAGTTGAGTCTCCAAAGAGCGCCCCGCTTGCAGTTGTCTGAAGAGCGCCCCGCTTGTGGGGGTGTCTGAAGAGCGCCCCGCCTGCAGTTGAGTCTCTGAAGAGCGCCCCGCCTGCAGTTGAGTCTCCAAAGAGCGCCCCGCTTGAGGTTGAGTCTCCGAAGAGCGCCCCGCCTGCAGTTGAGTGCCCCGCTCTCTGAAGAGCGCCCCGCCTGCAGTTGAGTCTCCAAAGAGCGCCCCGCTTGTGGTTGAGTCTCTGAAGAGCGCGCCCGCCTGCAGTTGAGTCTCTGAAGAGCGCCCCGCCTGCAGTTGAGTCTCCAAAGAGCGCCCCGCTTGTGGTTGAGTCTCTGAAGAGCGCCCCGCCTGCAGTTGAGTCTCTGAAGAGCGCCCCGCCTGCAGTTGAGTCTCCAAAGAGCGCCCCGCTTGTGGTTGAGTCTCTGAAGAGCGCCCCGCCTGCAGTTGAGTCTCTGAAGAGCGCCCCGCCTGCAGTTGAGTCTCCGAAGAGCGCCCCGCTTGTGGTTGAGTCTCTGAAGAGCGTCCCGCCTGCGGTTGAGTCTCCGAAGAGCACCCCGCTTGTGGTTGAGTCTCCGAAGAGCGCCCCGCTTGTGGTTGAATCTCTGAAGAGCGCCCCGCCTGCAGTTGAGTCTCCGAAGAGCACCACGCTTGGGGTTGAGTCTCCGAAGTGTGCCCCGCCTGCGGTTGAGTCTCCGAAGAGCGCCCCGCCTGCGGTTGAGTCTCCGAAGAGCCCCCCGCCTGCAGTTGAGTCTCCGAAGAGCGCCCCGCCTGCGGTTGAGTCTCCGAAGAGCGCCTCGCCTGCGGTTGAGTCTCCGAAGAGCGCCTCGCCTGCGGTTGAGTCTCCGAAGAGCGCCTCGCCTGCGGTTGAGCCTCCGAAGAGCGCCTCGCCTGCGGTTGAGTCTCCGAAGAGTGCCCCGCCTGCGGTTGAGTCTCCGAAGAGCGTCACGCCTGCGGTTGAGTCTCCGAAGAGCGCCCCATCTGCGGTTGAGTCTCCGAAGAGCACCCCGCCTGTTATTGAGTCTCCAAAGAGCGCCTCGCCTGCGGTTGAGTCTCCGAAGAGCGCCCCACCTGCGGTTGAGTCTCCGAAGAGCACCCCGCCTGTGGTTGAGTCTCCGAAGAGCGCCTCGCCTGCGGTTGAGTCTCCGAAGAGCACCCCACCTGCGGTTGAGTCTCCGAAGAGCACCCCACCTGCGGTTGAGTCTCCGAAGAGCACCCCACCTGCGGTTGAGTCTCCGAAGAGCACCCCGCCTGCGGTTGAGTCTCTGCAGAGCGCCCCGCCTGTGGCTGAGTCTCCGAAGAGCGCCTCGCCTGCGGTTGAGTCTCTGAAGAGTGTCCCGCCTGCGGTTGAGTCTCCGAAGAGTGCCCCACCTGCGGTTGAGTCTCCGAAGAGCGCCTCGCCTGTGGTTGAGTCTCCGAAGAGCGTCCCGCCTGCGGTTGAGTCTCCGAAGAGCGTCGCGCCTGCGGTTGAGTCTCCGAAGAGCACCCCGCCTGCAGTTGAGTCTCCGAAGAGCGTCCCGCCTGCGGTTGAGTCTCTGAAGAGCGCCCCGCCTGCGGTTGAGTCTCCGAAGAGCGTCCCGCCTGCGGTTGAGTCTCTGAAGAGCGCCCCGCCTGCGGTTGAGTCTCCGAAGAGCGCCTCGCATGCGGTTGAGTCTCCGAAGAGCGTCCCGCCTGCAGTTGAGTCTCCGAAGAGCGTCCCGCCTGTGGTTGAGTGTCCGAAAAGCGTCCCGCCTGCGGTTGAGTCTCCGAAGAGCGTCCCGCCTGCGGTTGAGTCTCCGAAGAGCGTCCCGCCTGCGGTTGAGTCTCCGAAGAGCGTCCCGCCTGCAGTTGAGTCTCCGAAGAGCACCCCACCTGCGGTTGAGTCTCCGAAGAGCACTCCACCTGCGGTTGAGTCTCCGAAGAGCACCCCGCCTGCGGTTGAGTCTCTGCAGAGCGCCCCGCCTGTGGCTGAGTCTCCGAAGAGCGCCCCGCCTGCGGATGAGTCTCCGAAGAGCGTCCCGCCTGCGGTTGTGTCCAGGTCTCTGACACCCCTAGATTCTTCCTCCTCCTCCTCCTACTTCCTCTCTCTCTCTCTCTCTTTCTCTCTCACTTTACCTAGTCTCCGCTTCCATCTCGTCCTTCGTGTCTTCCTCTAACTCCTAGTCATCGTATTTGTGTTTCCTCAGTTTCTTTGTCGTTGTCAACTTCTTCTTGGTTCTCAGTGAACTGGAAACTCCTTCCAATCTCCTTCTAGTTTATTTCCTTCCAACCACTTCCTTCTCGCTTACTACACCTTCACTAACACCCCCCCAACCCCCAAAAAAGGGGTTCCCATTCTCTGCTGATTTAGAAACTCTCTTTCCTCTTCCTGTTGTTGTTGTTGTTAAAGATTCGCTACTTGGAACAAAAAGTTCCAAGTAGCACGGGCTATGGTGAGCCCGTAGACCTTCCTCTTCCTGTTGTTGGTCCTCTCTCCCTCCTGTTCCCCTTCCCACTTTATCCATAACCTTTTACACAGTCCCCCTCTTTTTTCTCCCGTTCCATCCCCCCCCCCCCACGTTTCCGCCCTCTCCCCCACCTTTCACCCCCCCCCTCCCCCCACTGTCGCCGGGTCTGACAACGACGAGTCAACGGGAAAAAAACCTTATCAGGGAGCCGTCAGGCCGGCGGTCGTCATTTCCCACGGAGAGGCCTGGTGGTGGTGGTTGTGGTGGTGTTTGGTGGCTGTGGTGGTGGTGGTTGTGGTGGTGTTGGCTGGTGGTGTTGGCTGGTGGTGGTGGCTGGTGGTGGTGGCTGGTGGTGGTGGTGGCTGGTGGTGGTGGTGGCTGGTGGTGGTGGCTGGTGGTGGTTGGTGGTGGTGGTGGCTGGTGGTGGTGGCTGGTGGTGGTGGCTGGTGGTGGTGGTGGCTGGTGGTGGTGGTGGCTGGTGGTGGTTGGTGGTGGTGGCTGGTGGTGGTGGTGGTTGTGGTGGTGGTGGTTGTGGTGGTGTTGGCTGGTGGTGTTGGCTGGTGGTGTTGGCTGGTGGTGGCTGGTGGTGGTGGTGGCTGGTGGTGGTGGTGGGTGGTGGTGGTGGTGGTGGCTGGTGGTGGTGGCTGGTGGTGGTGGCTGGTGGTGGTGGTGGTTGTGGTGGTGTTGGCTGGTGGTGTTGGCTGGTGGTGTTGGCTGGTGGTGGTGGTGGCTGGTGGTGGTGGTTTGGTGATGTTGGCTGGTGACATATGTGATATACAAAGTTCTGAATGATTCCTTACAAAAATTTCTGAATTGCCGTTCTTATGATGGCCAGCCTGGCATATGCCGCTGATGTTATCCTCTTGATATGGGCTGCAGGGGACAGGTCTGGCGTGATGTCAACCCCCAATTCTTTTTCTCTCTCTGACTCCTGAAGAATTTCCTCTCCCAGATGATACCTTGTATCTGGCTTCCTGCTCCCTACACCTATCTTCATTACATTACATTTGCTTGGGTTAAACTCTAACAACCATTTGTTCGACCATTCCTTCAGCTTGTCCAGGTCTTCTTGAAGACTCAAGCAGTCCGCCTCTGTGTGTGTGTGTGTGTGTGTGTGTGTGTGTGTGTGTGTGTGTGTGTGTGTGTGTGTGTGTGTGTGTGTGTGTGTGTGTGTGTATTCACCTAGTTGTGTTTGCGGGGGTTGAGCTTTGCTCTTTCGGCCCTCCTCTCAACTGTCAATCATCTGTTTACTTACTACTTTTTTTCCAACAGCACACACACACACACACACCAAGAAGCAGCCTGTGACAGCTGATTAACTCCCAGGTACCTATTTACTGCTAGGTAACAGGGGCATTAAGGGTGAAAGAAACTTTGCCCATTTGTTTCTGCCTGGTGCGGGAATCGAACCCGCGCCACAGAATTACGAGTCCTGCGCGCAATCCACCAGGCTACGAGGCCCCTATATATGTGTGTGTAAATCACGAAAATTAACACGTGATGAAAAATATGATAATGTCAGACTACAGAGGAAGAATTGAAACAGGAATTTCCTTAAATACTGTAGTATATTAATACATCTTCAAAAGGAATTCCTCCAGAAGACAAGTTCAAGAGGGTGCTCCTCTGAAAGTCTAAAAAAAAGGCAACTTCTTGAGGAGGACGGAAGCAGTAAAATATGCTGACGAGAAAGCCAATACAGATCTGATGGCTCGGGGAGCATAAATGCTGCCGGATGTGAGCATGTCCTGAAGGCTCTAGTGCAACACATTGGGGGAAAAAGACTTGAGAGAGAGAGAAAAGAGAGAGAGAGAGAGAGAGAGAGAGAGAGAGAGAGAGAGAGAGAGAGAGAGAGAGAGAGAGAGAGAGAGAGAGAGAGAGAGAGAGAGAGAGAGAGAGAGAGAGAGAGTGAGTGAGAATGACGGTAACTGAGCGTGAAAGAGAGAGACCAGGGCCCCCCACACAGACCAGGCCCCCCACACAGACCACGCCACCCACACAGACCAGGCCACCCACACAGACCAGGTCTCCCACACAGACCAGGCCCCCCACACAGACCAGGTCTCCCCCACAGACCAGGCCTCACACACAGACCAGGCCACCCCCACAGACCAGGCCTCACACACAGACCAGGCCACCCACACAGACCAGGCCCCCCACAGCCTGGTGGATAGCGCGCAGGACTCGTAATTCTGTGGCGCGGGTTCGATTCCCGCACGAGGCAGAAACAAATGGGCAAAGTTTCTTTCACCCTAAGTGCCCCTGTTACCTAGCAGTAAATAGGTACCTGGGTGTTAGTCAGCTGTCACGGGCTGCTTCCTGGGGTGTGTGTGTGTGTGGTGTGGGAAAAAAAAAAAAAAAAAAAAAAAAAAAAAGTAGTTAGTAAAACAGTTGCTAGTAAACACAACTAGTAAACACACAGACCAGGTCTCCCACACAGACCAGGCCCCCCACACAGACCAGGTCTCCCACACAGACCAGGCCCCCACACAGACCAGGTCTCCCACACAGACCAGTCCTCCCACACAGACCAGTCCCCCCACACAGACCAGGCCCCCCACACAGACCAGGCCCCCCACACAGACCAGGCCCCCCACACAGACCTGGCCCCCACACAGACCAGGCCCCCACACAGACCAGTCCCCCCACACAGACCAGTCCCCCCACACAGACCAGTCCTCCCACACAGACCAGTCCCCCCACACAGACCAGGCCCCCCACACAGACCAGGCCCCCCACACAGACCAGGCCCCCCACACAGACCAGGCCCCCACACAGACCAGGCCCCCACACAGACCAGTCCCCCCACACAGACCAGGTCTCCCACACAGACCAGGTCTCCCACACAGACCAGGCCCCCCACACAGACCAGTCCCCCCACACAGACCAGGCCACCCACACAGACCAGGCCCCCCACACAGACCAGGCCCCCCACACAGACCAGGCCCCCCCACACAGACCAGTCCCCCCACACACAGACCAGGCCTTCCACACAGACCAGGCCCCCCCACACAGACCAGGCCCCCCACACAGACCAGGCCTCCCACACAGACCAGGTCTCCCACACAGACCAGGCCCCCCACACAGACCAGGCCCCCCACACAGACCAGTCCCCCCACACAGACCAGGCCTCCCACACAGACCAGTCCCCCCACACAGACCAGGCCTCCCACACAGACCAGTCCCCCCACACAGACCAGGCCTCCCACACAGACCAGGCCCCCCACACAGACCAGGCCACCCACACAGACCAGGCCCCCCACACAGACCAGGCCCCCCACACAGACCAGGCCCCCCACACAGACCAGGTCTCCCACACAGACCAGGCCTCCCACACAGACCAGTCCCCCCACACAGACCAGGCCCCCCACACAGACCAGGCCCCCCACACAGACCAGTCCCCCCACACAGACCAGGCCACCCACACAGACCAGTCCCCCCACACAGACCAGTCCCCCCACACAGACCAGTCCCCCCACACAGACCAGGCCTCCCACACAGACCAGGTCTCCCACACAGACCAGGCCTCCCACACAGACCAGGTCTCCCACACAGACCAGGGCCCCCCACACAGACCAGGCCTCCCACACAGACCAGGGCCCCCCACACAGACCAGTCCCCCCACACAGACCAGGTCTCCCACACAGACCAGGCCCCCCACACAGACCAGGCCCCCCACACAGACCAGGGCCCCCCACACAGACCAGGTCTCCCACACAGACCAGGCCACCCACACAGACCAGGTCTCCCACACAGACCAGTCCTCCCACACAGACCAGGCCTCCCACACAGACCAGGGCCCCCCACACAGACCAGGCCACCCCACAGACCAGGCCACCCACACAGACCAGGCCCCCCACACAGACCAGTCCTCCCACACAGACCAGGGCCCCCCACACAGACCAGTCCTCCCACACAGACCAGGCCCCCCACACAGACCAGTCCTCCCACACAGACCAGGGCCCCCCACACAGACCAGTCCTCCCACACAGACCAGGGCCCCCCACACAGACCAGGCCTCCCACACAGACCAGGGCCCCCCACACAGACCAGGCCTCCCACACAGACCAGGGCCCCCACACAGACCAGGGCCCCCCACACAGACCAGGCCCCCCACACAGACCAGGGCCCCCACACAGACCAGTCCTCCCACACAGACCAGGCCCCCCACACAGACCAGGCCACCCACACAGACCAGTCCTCCCACACAGACCAGGGCCCCCCACACAGACCAGGCCTCCCACATAGACCAGGGCCCCCCACACAGACCAGGCCCCCCACACAGACCAGGGCCCCCCACACAGACCAGTCCTCCCACACAGACCAGGGCCCCCCACACAGACCAGGCCTCCCACACAGACCAGGGCCCCCCACACAGACCAGGCCTCCCACACAGACCAGGCCTCCCACACAGACCAGGCCCCCCACACAGACCAGGGCCTCCCACACAGACCAGGCCCCCCACACAGACCAGGGCCCCCCACACAGACCAGGCCTCCCACACAGACCAGGCCTCCCACACAGACCAGGGCCCCCCACACAGACCAGGCCTCCCACACAGACCAGGGCCCCCCACACAGACCAGGCCTCCCACACAGACCAGGCCTCCCACACAGACCAGGCCCCCCACACAGACCAGGGCCCCCCACACAGACCAGGCCTCCCACACAGACCAGGCCTCCCACACAGACCAGGGCCCCCCACACAGACCAGGCCTCCCACACAGACCAGGGCCCCCCACACAGACCAGGGCCTCCCACACAGACCAGGCCCCCCACACAGACCAGGGCCCCCACCCAGACCAGGCCTCCCACACAGACCAGGGCCCCCCACACAGACCAGGGCCCCCCACACAGACCAGGGCCTCCCACACAGACCAGGCCCCCCTCACAGACCAGGGACCCCCACACAGAGCAGGGCCCCCCACACAGACCAGGGCCTCCCACACAGACCAGGGCCCCCCACACAGACCAGGGCCCCCCACACAGACCAGGCCTCCCACACAGACCAGGGCCTCCCACACAGACCAGGGCCCCCCACACAGACCAGGGCCCCCCACACAGACCAGGGCCCCCCACACAGACCAGGCCTCCCACACAGACCAGGGCCTCCCACACAGACCAGGGCCCCCCACACAGACCAGGGCCCCCCACACAGACCAGGGCCTCCCACACAGACCAGGGCCCCCCACACAGACCAGGCCCCCCACACAGACCAGGGCCCCCACACAGACCAGGGCCCCCCACACAGACCAGGGCCCCCCACACAGACCAGGCCCCCCACACAGACCAGGCCCCCCACACAGACCAGGGCCCCCCACACAGACCAGGGCCCCCCACACAGACCAGGCCCCCCACACAGACCAGGGCCCCCCACACAGACCAGGGCCCCCCACACAGACCAGGCCTCCCACACAGACCAGGGCCCCCCACACAGACCAGGCCCCCCACACAGACCAGGCCTCCCACACAGACCAGGGCCCCCCCACACAGACCAGGCCTCCCACACAGACCAGGGCCCCCCACACAGACCAGCCTCTCCCGTCCCCCGCTCCACTGCTCCCCGTGTCCAGGAGCCTCACATGGGGGTCGTGCCCGCCACGGCGCCGCTCAACACAGACATTAAAGCACGGACACTGCCGATGAGCCGTGCCCAATCGTCCCTCCACTTGTCACTGTTAACGAGCCACCTCTCTTAACACGACCAGAGGGAAGGCTACTCATTCCTTGATCACCGGGGGGGAGGGGGGGTGAGGACTGCGCTACTTACTCCCGCGAGATGGCAGACCAACCTGCCCTCTTACAAAGAACGTCGCTTTTCGCTCGTATGCGTTACATACGGCCCAAAATCGTCGCACTAGAAAATGGAAGCGGCTGGCGAAAGTGACGTACTGTCCCGCTTTCTGTTTTGTTTTCTATATAACTTTATATATATATATATATATATATATATATATATATATATATATATATATATATAGTTATATTGTCACGCCTATATATATATATATATTAAGGAAATTCCTGTTTCAATTCTTCCTTCGTGGTCTGACACAGTCATATATATGTTAATTTTCGTGATTTACAAACACACACACACATATATATATATATATATATATATATATATATATATATATATATATATATATATATATATATATATATATACCATTCATTCCCCCACTCCCCTGTCCCCTCGTCCTCCCCACTTTGGCCGGGGGGGGGGAGTAAAGAGGAAGGAGAGGCATAGGTGAAGGGAAGTATAGAAGTGGGAAATACAGTGAGAGGTATGAAAGCAGGCGGGCTGTCCGCCTTGCTGACACGATGTGTGGGTGTTGGCAGCTAAGCTAAGCTGGCTCCCTCTTGTCAGGGAGCTGGGAGTGTGTGAGAGGTTCTTCACATGTGTTTCACCATATATGGATGTCCATAGATGAATACTGTGTAGCATTCATATATACACACTCCGATGCTTCCACACATGTTGTTCTGTTTAAGGCTATTTATTTTATTATTATTATTTATTGAGTTATTCATACATATACTTATGATATATCTATATTATATGGAGGCTTGTTCGCATATACATATACATATACAAATTTATATACCTTGAGGTTACCTTGAGGTGCTTCCGGGGCTTAGCGTCCCCGCGGCCCGGTCGTCGACAAGTCCTCCTGGTTGCTAGATTGATCAACCAGGCTGTGACTCATACGTCTGGCTGCGAGCAGCCGCGTCCAACAGCCTGGTTGATCAGTCCAGCAACCAGGAGGCCTGGTCGACGACCGGGCCGCGGAGACGCTAAGCTCCGGAAAGTATCTGGTAAAGCCCCGGAAGGTATATTTGGAAGATACCTCCAAAGGATACCTTTGGAGGTGTTTTCCAAAGTTTGTCAAGTTCTCTCTTGAACACTGTGAGGGGTCGGCCAGTTATGCCCCTTATGTGTAGTGGAAGCGTGTTGAACAGTCTCGGGCCTCTGATGTTGATAGTTCTCTCTCAGAGTACCTGTTGCACCTCTGCTCTTCAACGGGGGTATTCTGCACATCCTGCCATGTCTTCTGGTCTCATGTGATGTTATTTCTGTGTGCAGGTTTGGGACCAGCCCCTCAATTATTTTCCACGTATAGATTTTTATGTATCCCGCCTGCGCTCAAGGGAATACAGATTTAGGCTCTTTAGTCGGTCCCAGTAGTTTAGATGTTTTACTGAGTGGATTCTAGCAGTAAAGGATCTATAAAGTAAAGGATATATATACACATACATACTCATTTTTTTCCAATTATAGGGGGAAGGATTGCGGCTCTTGGGTCACCAGCTGTGGGAGGAGGGCATCTCATCTTGGAGTAATCTTTCTAACATTGGGTCCTCTAACATTTCGGTGGTGTTCCACACCCTGATGGCTTGGTGCTGCAGTCTGATGTTTAGTGGCTGTATGTTCAGGAGTTCATGGAGCTCCTGGATTGTCTGATCATATGGTGGACGGTGTTTTGCTGCTCTCCTTAGCGCCTTATTTTGTACTGCTTGCAGTTTCTGCATGTTAGTTTTCTTTATGGTGTGTAGTGGTACTGGGGGATACTCTAGATGCGGCCGAACTAGAGCCTTATGTAGGTGGATCTGAATGTTTGTACTGAGGCTTCGGAATCTCCTCAGTTTTTCTAAGGCTGCTTTGGCTTTGTTTAGTCGGTCCCTTACATGAATTTGTATCCCTGTTCTATTTATCATAAGTCCCAGTATTCTGCCTACCTCCGCATATTGGATCGGCTGGTTGTCAAGGATTATGGGGTCCGGGTTTCTTTTCGCAATGTGTATTATCTGAAACTTTTCTTTGTGCTAATTTTCCATTGCTTCTCAAAGTTGTTTATGAGTTCAATTGCCGCCTTGGTCTTGTCGGCTAGTAGCGGCTTTGATGGGCCCGGTTGGCATATTATTTGGGTGACATCGTCAGCGTATGTGATGTATTCTCCATGTTGGGGTTGGGGTAGGTCAGCTGCGTATATGTTGAATAGAGTGGGGGAGAGGCAGCTTGTGGTACTCCACTTTTCAGTTCTATTACGTCACCCAAGTAGCTGCCAATATTAAGCCTAGCAGTTCTGTTGTCTATAAAGCTGCAGAGAGTAGCAGTATATCTCTCAGGACGTCCTAGCTCATATATCTTATATTTTAGGCGAACTCCCCACCATTCCCCCCCTCCCCCGTCCCCTCGTCCTCCCCCGTCCCCCCTCCCCCGTCCCCTCCCCCCCACCATTCCCCCCTCCCTCGTCCCCTCATCCTTTTACATTTTTACTTACATAGAAGATGTACCAGTTACCACTGTATATTCCGGGCTATTCATGCCCGTGCCACGTCTTGGGTAACGTAATCTTCACCACCCACCCACTGTACAGATGTATGGCCACGTCTGTGGTGAGACAGTAACTGAGGACAATGCTGAGGTTGGAGGTGTCCGGCACCAACACCGCCGTGACGTAGCGTCAGTAACCAGCCGACGTTGAGGGTTCTCCCGGACCCCATTGTTATATACAAACACTATTATGAAAATGGACTAAAAATGCCAATACTGCTCATAATTGGTATGCTCTTGACATTGACCTACATAAATGGGAAGGGTGTGTGTGGGTGGACGGGGCTTGCAGTCGGAAGGTGGGTGTGGGTGGACGGGGCTTGTGGTGGGAAGGTGTGTGTGGGTGGACGGGGCTTGCAGTCGGAAGGTGGGTGTGGGTGGACGGGGCTTGTGGTGGGAAGGTGGGTGTGGGTGGACGGTGCTTGTGGTGGGAAGGTGTGTGCGGGTGGACGGGGCTTGTGGTGGGAAGGTGTGTGTGGGTGGACGGTGCTTGTGGTGGGAAGGTGTGTGTGGGTGGGCGGGGCTTGTGGTGGGAAGGTGTGTGTGTGGGTGGACGGGGCTTGCAGTCGGAAAGTGGGTGTGGGTGGACGGGGCTTGTGGTGGGAAGGTGGGTGTGGGTGGACGGGGCTTGTGGTGGGAAGGTGTGTGCGGGTGGACGGGGCTTGTGGTGGGAAGGGTGTGTGTGTGGGTGGACGGGGCTTGTGGTGGGAAGGTGTGTGTGGGTGGACGGGGCTTGTGGTGGGAAGGTGTGTGCGGGTGGACGGGGCTTGTGGTGGGAAGGGTGTGTGTGTGGGTGGACGGGGCTTGTGGTGGGAAGGTGTGTGTGGGTGGACGGGGCTTGTGGTGGGAAGGTGGGTGTGGGTGGACGGGGCTTGTGGTGGGAAGGTGTGTGTGGGTGGACGGTGCTTGTGGTGGGAAGGTGGGTGTGGGTGGACGGGGCTTGTGGTGGGAAGGGGGGTGTGGGTGGACGGAGCTTGTGGTGGGAAGGTGGGTGTGGGTGGACGGTGCTTGTGGTGGGAAGGTGTGTGTGGGTGGACGGGGCTTGTGGTGGGAAGGTGGGTGTGGGTGGACGGGGCTTGTGGTGGGAAGGGGGGTGTGGGTGGACGGTGCTTGTGGTGGGAAGGTGTGTGTGGGTGGACGGGGCTTGTGGTGGGAAGGGTGTGTGTGGGTGGACGGGGCTTTTGGAGGGAAGGTGGGTGTGGGTGGACGGGGCTTGTGGTGGGAAGGGGGGTGTGGGTGGGTGGACGGGACTTGTGGTGGGAAGGGTGTGTAAGTGGGTGGACGGTGCTTGTGGTGGGAAGGGGGGTGTGGGTGGACGGTGCTTGTGGTGGGAAGGTGGGTGTGGGTGGACGGGGCTTGTGGTGGGAAGGTGTGTGTGGGTGGACGGGGCTTGTGGTGGGAAGGTGGGTGTGGGTGGACGGGGCTTGTGGTGGGAAGGTGTGGGTGGGTGGACGGTGCTTGTGGTGGGAAGGTGTGTGTGGGTGGACGGGGCTTGTGGTGGGAAGGTGGGTGTGGGTGGACGGGGCTTGTGGTGGGAAGGGTGTGTGTGTGGGTGGACGGGGCTTGTGGTGGGAAGGTGTGTGTGTGGGTGGACGGGGCTTGTGGTGGGAAGGGGGGTGTGGGTGGACGGGGCTTGTGGTGGGAAGGGTGTGTGTGTGGGTGGACGGGGCTTGTGGTGGGAAGGGGGGTGTGGGTGGACGGGGCTTGTGGTGGGAAGGTGTGTGTGGGTGGACGGGGCTTGTGGTGGGAAGGGGGGTGTGGGTGGACGGGGCTTGTGGTGGGAAGGGTGTGTGTGTGGGTGGACGGGGCTTGTGGTGGGAAGGTGTGTGTGGGTGGACGGGGCTTGTGGTGGGAAGGTGTGTGTGTGGGTGGACGGGGCTTGCAGTCGGAAGGTGGGTGTGGGTGGACGGTGCTTGTGGTGGGAAGGTGTGTGTGTGGGTGGACAGGGCTTGTGGTGGGAAGGGGGGTGTGGGTGGACGGGGCTTGTGGTGGGAAGGGGGTGTGGGTGGACGGGGCTTGTGGTGGGAAGGTGGGTGTGGGTGGACGGGGCTTGTGGTGGGAAGGGGGGTGTGGGTGGACGGGGCTTGTGGTGGGAAGGGGGGTGTGGGTGGACGGGGCTTGTGGTGGGAAGGTGGGTGTGGGTGGACGGTGCTTGTGGTGGGAAGATGGGTGTGCGTGGACGGTGCTTGTGGTGGGAAGGTTTGTGTGGGTGGACGGGGCTTGTGGTGGGAAGGTGTGTGTGTGGGTGGACGGGGCTTGCAGTCGGAAGGTGGGTGTGGGTGGACGGGGCTTGTGGTGGGAAGGTGGGTGTGGGTGGACGGGGCTTGTGGTGGGAAGGTGTGTGCGGGTGGACGGGGCTTGTGGTGGGAAGGGTGTGTGTGTGGGTGGACGGGGCTTGTGGTGGGAAGGTGTGTGTGGGTGGACGGGGCTTGTGGTGGGAAGGGTGTGTGTGTGGGTGGACGGGGCTTGTGGTGGGAAGGGGGGTGTGGGTGGACGGGGCTTGTGGTGGGAAGATGGGTGTGGGTGGACGGTGCTTGTGGTGGGAAGGTGTGTGTGGGTGGACGGGGCTTGTGGTGGGAAGGTGTGTGTGTGGGTGGACGGGGCTTGCAGTCGGAAGGTGGGTGTGGGTGGACGGGGCTTGTGGTGGGAAGGTGGGTGTGGGTGGACGGGGCTTGTGGTGGGAAGGTGTGTGCGGGTGGACGGGGCTTGTGGTGGGAAGGGTGTGTGTGTGGGTGGACGGGGCTTGTGGTGGGAAGGTGTGTGTGGGTGGACGGGGCTTGTGGTGGGAAGGGTGTGTGTGTGGGTGGACGGGGCTTGTGGTGGGAAGGGGGGTGTGGGTGGACGGGGCTTGTGGTGGGAAGGGTGTGTGTGTGTGGTGGACGGGGCTTGTGGTGGGAAGGTGTGTGTGGGTGGACGGGGCTTGCAGTGGGAAGGGTGTGTGGGTGGGTGGACGGGGCTTGTGGTGGGAAGGTGGGTGTGGGTGGACGGGGCTTGTGGTGGGAAGGTGGGTGTGGGTGGACGGGGCTTGTGGTGGGAAGGTGTGTGCGGGTGGACGGGGCTTGTGGTGGGAAGGGTGTGTGTGGGTGGACGGGGCTTGTGGTGGGAAGGTGTGTGTGGGTGGACGGGGCTTGTGGTGGGAAGGGTGTGTGTGTGGGTGGACGGGGCTTGTGGTGGGAAGGTGTGTGTGGGTGGACGGGGCTTGTGGTGGGAAGGTGTGTGTGGGTGGACGGGGCTTGTGGTGGGAAGGTGTGTGTGGGTGGACGGGGCTTGCAGTGGGAAGGGTGTGTGGGTGGGTGGACGGGGCTTGTGGTGGGAAGGTGGGTGTGGGTGGACGGGGCTTGTGGTGGGAAGGTGGGTGTGGGTGGACGGGGCTTGTGGTGGGAAGGTGTGTGTGGGTGGACGGTGCTTGTGGTGGGAAGGTGTGTGTGGGTGGGCGGGGCTTGTGGTGGGAAGGTGGGTGTGGGTGGACGGGGCTTGTGGTGGGAAGGTGGGTGTGGGTGGACGGGGCTTGTGGTGGGAAGGTGTGTGTGGGTGGACGGGGCTTGTGGTGGGAAGGTGTGTGTGGGTGGACGGGGCTTGTGGTGGGAAGGGTGTGTGTGTGGGTGGACGGGGCTTGTGGTGGGAAGGTGTGTGTGGGTGGACGGGGCTTGTGGTGGGAAGGTGTGTGTGGGTGGACGGGGCTTGTGGTGGGAAGGTGTGTGTGGGTGGACGGGGCTTGTGGTGGGAAGGTTTGTGCTACGTTTGTGGGGGGGAGATGCCTGGGTGGGTGGTGGGAGGGTATATAGTGTGACGGGTGTGTGACGGGTGTGTGAGTTACCTGGAGAAGGTTTCCGGAGTTCTTCTACTCCCCGAGCGCGGCCCGAGGCCAGACTCGACTTGTGATAACTTGGTCCACCAGGCTGTTGCTTGGAGCGGCCCGCAGGCCCACAGTACCCCCCCACCAGTGTTGGGAGCACGGTGCTCCACCAGTGTTGGGGGCACGGTGTTCCACCAGTGTTGGGGGCACGGTGCTCCACCAGTGTTGGGAGCACGGTGCTCCACCAGTGTTGGGGGGCACGGTGCTCCACCAGTGTTGGGGGCACGGTGCTCCACCAGTGTTGGGGGCACGGTGTTCCACCAGTGTTGGGGGCACGGTGCTCCACCAGTGTTGGGGGCACGGTGTTCCACCAGTGTTGGGAGCACGGTGCTCCACCAGTGTTGGGGGGACGGTGCTCCACCAGTGTTGGGGACACGGTGCTCCACCAGTGTTGGGGGCACTGTGCTCCACCAGTGTTGGGGGCACTGTGCTCCACCAGTGTTGGGGGGACGGTGCTCCACCAGTGTTGGGGGGACGGTGCTCCACCAGTGTTGGGGGCACGGTGCTCCACCAGTGTTGGGGGGACGGTGCTCCACCAGTGTTGGGGGCACGGTGTTCCACCAGTGTTGGGAGCACGGTGCTCCACCAGTGTTGGGGGACGGTGCTCCACCAGTGTTGGGGACACGGTGCTCCACCAGTGTTGGGAGCACGGTGCTCCACCAGTGTTGGGGGCACGGTGCTCCACCAGTGTTGGGAGCACGGTGCTCCACCAGTGTTGGGGGCACGGTGCTCCACCAGTGTTGGGGACACGGTGCTCCACCAGTGTTGGGAGCACGGTGCTCCACCAGTGTTGGGAGCACGGTGCTCCACCAGTGTTGGGGGCACGGTGCTCCACCAGTGTTGGGGACACGGTGCTCCACCAGTGTTGGGGGCACGGTGCTCCACCAGTGTTGGGGACACGGTGCTCCACCAGTGTTGGGGGCACGGTGCTCCACCAGTGTTGGGGACACGGTGCTCCACCAGTGTTGGGGAAATATTCATAACGCGACAAAAATTAAGCCTTTGATGTACGGTGAAGCGTAAAGGTCAGATCAAAGTCCGCCCTTCATCACCCCGGCCTTTGTCCCCCTGCTGTATGTTCCCCTCAACCCAGCCCTTAACCCACCCCTCAACCCAGCCCTCAACCCAGCCCTCAACCCAGCCCTCTACCCAGCCCTCAACCCAGCCCTTAACCCAGCCCTTAACCCAGCCCTCAACCCAGCCCTTAACCCACCCCTCAACCCAGCCCTCTACCCAGCCCTTAACCCAGCCCTTAACCCAGCCCTCAACCCAGCCCTTAACCCAGCCCTTAACCCAGCCCTTAACCCAGCCCTCAACCCAGCCCTCAACCCAGCCCTTAACCCACCCCTCAACCCAGCCCTTAACCCACCCCTCAACCCAGCCCTCTACCCAGCCCTTAACCCAGCCCTTAACCCAGCCCTCAACCCAGCCCTTAACCCAGCCCTCAACCCAGCCCTTAACCCACCCCTCAACCCACCCCTTAACCCAGCCCTTAACCCAGCCCTTAACCCAGCCCTCAACCCAGCCCTTAACCCAGTCCTTAACCCAGCCCTCAACCCAGCCCTTAACCCAGCCCTCAACCCAGCCCTTAACCCACCCCTCAACCCACCCCTTAACCCAGCCCTCAACCCACCCCTTAACCCACCCCTCAACCCACCTCCACCCTAACCAACCCATTAACCGACGACCAACAAGTAAGTAAGTAATTATCAAAAGAAGGCACCAAACCGGGAAGGCTATGTAGCACCATCAAGTACGCAAAATAATCAGAGGGCGCTAAATATCACCAAGGATGCCAATACGAGAACAAAAACGCATAAGGCGAACGATATCAAAAGTATCCGAGTCACCAAGAATTCTATCGAGGGACAGGTGACCGCGAGGGGCGGTCGGAAAGCAAGACACACGCTCGTCCTGGAAGTCAGGACATTCAAGAAGGACATGCACGACCGTAAGAGGGACGATGCAACTAGGACAATAAGGAGCAGGGCGGCGCTCCATCAAGTGACCATGGGTTAAGCGAGTATGGCCAATACGCAACCTCGCCAGAGCTGTTTCCCACCGCCGGTTACGGTGGAAGGAGGACGGCCACGAGGAAACACAACATTTAAGAGTACGTAGCTTGTTACCAGTAACAGACAACCAAGAAGCCTGCCAACGGGTAAGGACTGAGGAATGGATAACCGGGTAAAAGTCGGAATACGGAATGCCTTTGCGAGAGATGGGACAAGAGCGGACAGCTTCCTTGGCAGCAGCATCCGCACGCTCATTTAAAGACACACCAATATGGCTGGGAACCCAACAAAACTCAACCGACTTAAATTTACTGTGAACGAGAAACAGCCAATGCTGGATCTCGACAACTACTGGATGAACCGGATTAAAGGACCCGAGAGCCATGAGGGCACTACGAGAGTCAACAACAACCACAAAGGAAGACTGACAACGAGAAAGCAGGAGACGAAGAGCATAGAGAATAGTATAAAGTTCCGCTGTAAAGATGCTAGTCTCCGGAGGCAAGCGACACATATAAGTGCGATCAGGAAAAACAACAGAGTAGCCAACACCGTCCATTGACTTAGACCCATCGGTGAAGACAGAAACGGAGCGGGAGTGAGAAGAAAAGTGCTCGAGGAAAAGGCGTTTGAGAACCGTAGGAGGGGTAAAAGCTTTAGTGATACGGGTCAAGGATGTACAAAACCGCGGAAGAGGTACCCTCCACGGGGGCAAAGAAGGAACAACACGAGGAGAAACATCAGAAATACGAACGGAAAGAGAATCCTGTAGGCGAGATAACCGGACAGAAAGAGGGAGGTGGTGAAGAGGAACAGGAACCGCAGGAGGGGTAAAAGTTAAAGCACGACAGAGGCGAGAGGAAGGATGTTGTAAGGACCGCGCAAGATAGCGAAGACAGTAGCGATCACGGCGGTCCTGGAGAGACAGGAAGCCAGTGTCAACATACAAGCTAAGGATGGGAGTCGAACGAAAGGCACCAGAACTGAGACGCAACCCAGTATGGTGCAAAGCATCCAGACGGAGTAGAAGGAGAAGCAGACGAGTAAGCAGGGCAACCATAATCGAGCTTAGACAGGACGAGAGAGGAATGTAAAGCAAGGAGAGTGCGCCTATCTGCCCCCCAAGAAGTATGGGACAAGACCCGAAGGAGGGTAAGGGCCTTAGAGCACTCAACACGGAGGTAAGAGATATGGGGAGACCAAGACAAACGAGTGTCAAGAAATAACCCCAAAAGCTTCGCGGAATCTTTGTATTCAAAGGGATGACCATAAAGTGACAAAGAGGGACGAAGAACAACCCGTTTCCGCGTAAAAGTCATGGCACAAGTCTTAGAAGTAGAGAACTTGAAGCCATGACCTGTGGCCCAAGACGACACGGCATCAATGGCAAGTTGAAGCCGGCGTTGAAGGAGAGGCGAATCATCACCCTGACAACAAAGGGTAAGATCATCGACATAGAGAGCGGAGAAGACACCAGAAGGAAGAGAGGAAAGAAGACCATTGAGGGCAACCAGAAAAAGAGTAGTGCTCAGAACACTACCCTGGGGCACACCTTCGTATTGCTGAAAGGAGGGAGAGAGAGCGGTACCAAGGCGCACCCGAAAGGAACGACGAGAGAGGAAGCTGCGGAGAAAGAGAGGGAGATGACCACGAAGGCCAAAAGAATGAAGTTGAGATAGGATATGATAACGCCAAGTGGTGTCATAAGCCTTTTCTAGGTCAAAAAGGACGGCAACAACGGAGGTCTTCGCAGCAAAAGCAGTACGAATATAGACCTCCAAGTTCACCAGGACATCTGTCGTGCTGCGGCACTTGCGGAAACCAAATTGAGAAGGGGAGAGGAGGTGATGGTGTTCCAGGAACCACATCAGACAAACGTTAACCATACGTTCAAAGAGTTTGCAGACACAACTTGTGAGAGCAATAGGGCGAAAGTCCTTAGGGGAAGTACCCAGAGACCCCGGTTTGCGAACAGGGAGGACAACGGCATCGAGCCAGTCCTCAGGGACTGACGACGACTCCCAGATCCGATTATACAGACTCAGTAAATACTGAGACGTGCTCGGAGGGAGATGGCGAAGCATCTCATAATGAATACCATCGGAGCCCGCCGCCGTAGAACCGCAGAGGGCCAGGGCAGAACGAAGTTCAGAGAGAGAGAAGGGATCATTATAGGGAAGCTGAAGATGAGTGCAGAAATCTAAAGGACGAGACTCAAGGACAGGTTTACGAAGAAGAAAAGATTGGGGAAGATGAAGACCAGAGCTAACAGAAGAAAAGTGGGAACCCAGTTCGGAAGCGACCTGCAACGGGTCCGCCACAAGAGTATCATGGAGGTGAAGGACCGGAGAAACATCGGGAACGAACTTACCCGCTATCTTGCGGATACGCTTCCAGATCTGGGCCAGAGGGGTTTCGGACGTAATTGTTGAGACATAAGATGCCCAACATTCACGTTTAGCCGTACGGATGGCCCTACGGGCCACCGCACTCGCTTTCCGAAAGAAAAGAAAAGAATCTGTCGTCTGCCTACGGTGGTGCCTCTTCCAGGCTGCACGCTTACAGCGGACAGCCCGAGCACAGTCCGCATTCCACCAGGGAACGCACTTCCGTGGACCCCGAGAGGAAGAGCGAGGAATAGAGCGGAGGGCAGCGTTGAAGACAGTGTCATGAAAAAGGAGGAGAGCGCGAGAGAGGGGCAGAAGGGAGAGGTCAGAGAGAGCAGCACTGAGGGAAAATAGGGTCCAGTCCGCCTTAGCAAACTGCCACCTAGGGAAAGAGAGGGAAGGGCGAAAAGAGAAAAAGGAAACAAGGATGGGGAAATGATCACTTCCATGGAGGTCATCAAGAACCTGCCACGTGAAATCTAAGTAAAGAGAAGAAGAGCAGAGAGAAAGATCAAGACAAGAAAGGGTGCGAGTTCGAGAGTCCAAATGAGTGGGCTCACCAGAATTCAGAAGAGACAGGGAAGAAGAGAGGAGAAACGGCTCAAGGAGTCGACCCCGGGTATTCGTCAGAACGTCACCCCAAAGAGAATGACGACAATTGAAGTCACCCAGCAGGAGCACAGGCTCCGGCAAGGAGTCTAGGAGGTGTTTCAAATCAGGAAGAGAGAGCGGGACACTCGGGGGGAGATAAATGGAACAAACTGTGTACCATTTCCCCACAAAGATACGAGCAGCAGAACAATGGAGAGGCGAAGGAAAAAGTAAAGGAACAAAGGGAACATCAGCCCGAATCAAGAGAGCAGAAGAATTAGAAGCCCCAGCAATGGCTGGGGGGGGGGGGGGAGAGAAAGGAATAGCCACGAAAACGACCAGGACGAGCACCAAGCATTGGCTCCTGGAGACAGACACAAAGGGGCGAAAACCGCGAAATCAGAAGTTGGAGTTCGAGGAAATTGGCGTAATAACCTCGAACGTTCCATTGAAGAATGGACAACGACGAGAAGAGAAAGGACAAAAACAGAGAACAAGGAAGAAACAAAGGCGAAAGAGCAACAGAGCACGTTAAAGAATATCAGGGTCGGGATCAGGGTCAGCAAAGTCAGGGTTAGGGGGCATGGGTAAACTGAGCAAAGACGGAGGGAAGGAAACGGGAGAACAGATCAGAGGTGGGCGGGCAGGGTCCGGAGGAGGAGGAGGAGGAGGAGGAAGAGGAGGAGACAACGGAGAGGAGCAGTCAAGGACAGCAGCAGGAAGAGGGGGAGTAGAAAGAGGGGAGCGCACCCCAGCAAGAGCAGCAACCGAAAGGGAAGCAGGGGCCAAAGAAACCTCCATAGCAGGAACAGGAGGCGCAAGCACTGAAACGGGAGGGGAAGGAGCAACAGAGCCAGAAGGAGGAGCTGAGGAAGAAAGCGAAGCCTTCTTACCCGCCGGGGAAGAGGAAGGAGAGGAGCCAGGCTTACGCTTCTGACTTAAAGAGACCGGTGTCCCAGCAACTACGTACCGGCCAACGGATTCCAGTGTCTCAACAGGAGAAGCCGAACGAGAGCACACACGACGGCCGTTAGGAGAGCGATGGACATCCGCCCGCACCGACAGGCGGTGGGGAGAGCCGATAGATGGAGGAAGAGGATGGGAAGGAGGATCGGAGGGGGACAAGGAAGAAGACACAGAAGACACGACAGACCGGGTAGAAGGAAGGGGAACCCCAGACAGAGGACCAGGAGGAGGATCCTTCGGGAGAGAACCCAAAGGGACAGAGGAGGGGGCAGTGGGCGCATCAGGGTCCAAGGCTCGGAAACGGTTGTGAGTCTGAGGAAGGCGGGAAGGACGAGGAGAGGAAGAGCGCAACACGCGAGCATAAGAGATATTAGCATAAGGCGGGAGCCGGCGAACCTGGCGCCTCGCCTCAGGAAAAGATAAACGCTCCCGGTGCTTCAAGTTGAGGACAGCTGCCTCAAGCTTGTAATGGACACACGCACGGGAGAAGGTAGGATGGGCCTCACCGCAGTTGAGGCAACGAGCCTGGGGAGAAGCGCACTCCGACTTAGAGTGACCTTCGCCACCACACAAAGGACAGAGAGAGACAGTCCCGGAGCAGCGGAGGGCACCATGCCCAAACCTCCAGCACTTGTTGCAGAGCCGAGGAGAAGGAATGTACTCCTGGACAGAGCACCTGGCACCAGCAAGAATGACAGAGGGTGGAAGG